ACAGGGTAAAACAGCAGGGCAGTTCTTCCATGCACATTTCAGGAGAAAAACCATCAATTTAAAGATAACTGTCAGGTTTCAAGTATCCTAAGACATTCTAAACCTAAGTTTTACTTTATACCATTGGTGATTAAAATTAACAATAAGTCTTGCTGTGATGTGTTTTGCTTTCCCCTGCAGCTATATACACATTGCAAAACTATTCTGCATCACATGATTTTAATGAAATAAATATAAAAATGAGCCACACAATTAACACATAACTTTAATACTCCACATTATTTATCTTGATCACAATGGTGGTAACCTCCTGGTCAACAATCTTGTGAGTTGAGGAGTTGATTCTCATTCTCATATCCGTCAGGCAGATACGCTCTTCTCAGCTGGTCTGACTTAGGTATGGAGCCTCCATTCTTCACATGGCGGGATAGGAAAGCACGGACAGCTGGGTGGTCAGCCTTCTCGAGTGGGATGTTGGCTTCCAGGCACATTTTCACAAAGTCCTGGATAACACTGACTTTCTCTGTTTGTGCAGTACTGTTGCACTGAAGCGATGCAGTTAGAGGCCTCTGCTTCTTTCTCACATTCTGTTCTTCAAATTCTGCCTTCCTCTTAGTATGAGTCTTGGACTTGAGGTGGTCACTAATGGCAGACTTGCGAACATGATTCAGAACCACGTTGCAAGAAGTGCAGAAGAGTTTTCCGCCATCTTCATGTAGCTCACCTCCAAACTCAGTGACTCGGTCCAAGGGAGTCACATACAAAGCAGTCTTAGAACGGTTTCGAGCTGGTGGGGCTGTTACTACAAATCGTTCCATTCTGACTTTGAAAAAGGATCCTTCAAAACAGGAGAAACAAGAGTGAGTGTTGTTAAAAACAGTTCCTGTTACAAATGATTCATAATAGAAGGTATGAAAATTTAAGATTAAAAAACGTTAAAAACAATTCAAATTAGAATTTATATCAATTTACACTGAAAATTACCTGGAATAGCTAAAAACCAAAAAAACCAACTCACTATTGTGGAGTCTATTCTAACTCAGAAGGACCTGAGAGGACACAGTAGAACTGCCTCTGTAGGTTTCAGAGGCTGGAAATCGTTACCGGAGTAAAAGCCTCATCTTTCTTCCGTGGAGGGACTGGTGGGTTCGAGTTAGCAGCCCAACGCTTAACCTGAAATGTTACTAATATTTCTCCTGGAATATGTAAAGAAGGCAAAAGCCATATATATAATGAACAACTAGGTCAGTCCTACATTTTTATTAAAATTCAAATACACTAATATTACGCATAAAGAATTCAAACCATGTAACACATGAAAAAACTTTAAAAAACGAAACAAAAACAAACAACCCTTATCATGGAGCAACATTTTAGGTGCTAATATATTACTCAACCCACTGCCAACAAGTGGATTCCAACAAGTGACCCCATAGGGCAGATATCAGAATTGCCTCTTTGGGTTTCTGAGACTAAAAATCTTTTTCCTTAAGAGCAGCTGGTAGAAATCTTGTGGAAAAAAAGGTATGAAGATAATAGGATTTTCCCACAAACTTACCTGCCGCCCCCTGGACAAAACCAAAACAAAACCCAATAACCTTTCGGAAGCCCTTCATATATTGAAGTATATAAAAGATTCTCTTTCTTCACAATTCTGGACAAAAGATTAAAAAAAAAATTGTGGGGAATTGTGTATATAGACCAGAGAGGTGGGTCATTAAACTGGCATAATTTTATATGATGATGCACAGTATTTTCAAAACTTTTGTGTGGACAAAAAGGTAAAAGCTAAGAAAGAATTCAGACTAAATGCATTTAAACTTTAAAGTGAAAATAAAAAGCTCAAAGTAAGTTTTTTTACTGTATGTGCACCTATGGTACGTTTCCTAAAAGGTGACAATCAAGATTGGAAAAATGCTGTAAAAAGACTTATCAGTTTTACATTAAGTATTAATTTTTTAATATTGATTTCACTTAACTATCAAATTAGAACAAAGCCAAGAAGTCAGTATGGTACCTAGCATATGGAAGATGCTTAAAACTTTTTGATGGAAGATGTAAATAATAATCTTTATCATTTATCCAAACTTTTGATTTAACTCAGTAGTTTAACACTTTCTGAATTTATCTAACAGTAAAAATTTCTGATCACAGGACTAAGTCCCAAATGCATACATGCCACTGAAGACCTAAAATACCAACCATGTTAGTATGTGGCTATCATACAAAATCATTAGTGGGCCCCTGAAACAATGACTTTAAGCTACGTTCTTATAAATATTTAACAAGATTTAAGGAGTTAAAATATATTTGACAGAACTTAATATGGAATTCTATTCTCAATAAATACACTACAAATGCATGCTAAGTAAAGGTTGGTGACTTGGATCCCTCCAGTGATGAGTTTAAACAAGGCTAGATGGCAATGGTTTCTGTGGGTTTTTTTCATTTATCAGTGGTGGCTCAGGAAATCCTGTCGAAATGCTTTTGTAAAATTTATAGCCAAAAAAAAGCTTATGAAGCCTATTTTGTAACATATATGGGTCACCATGATTTAGAATTCATTGGAATCTGTTTTACATAAAACTTCTCTCAAAAGAACTATATATTTCCAACACTTGTGGATACCAAAAGTCCAGGGAATAACATTTCTCAGTAATTCTGGAAAGCATGATCAACTCTAATGTTCACAAAACACCCCAAGTCATTGAGTAGATTCTAACTCATAGCCATCCTATAGGACAGAATAGAATGGGTTTTCAAGGATGCAACTCTTTGGATTGCAGTTCACAGCGCGATGTGTAACCCACTACACCACCAGCACTTCTCTTTCATGTAGATAAGGCACTTTCTATTTCTTTCCATGCATGTCTCCTATGTACCAAATATTGGGTTTACCATGGCAGGTAAAACAGAGATGATTCCTGTCTAATAGATAGTGAATTACTATTACATATAGTTGTACTTTAAATTAACAGTATGTATTTTAAACTAAGGTGAAGGCCAATCAAACAAGTATGATTATTAGCTCTAAACTACTTAAGGATAATATTAAATACTTCTGCCCAGTAATAATTTCATCTTGCTACACGAAAAGTCTGCGTTAAAATGTTTTATATATTAAGCTGTGAAACAAACAGGGATGTATTTCTTTGACTTGTAAAATATCCAATCCTTTGTGCTAATGTGAAAGGTCAGCACATACCAAAAGCTTGTTACTTTCACAGGGCTTGTTTTTACATTACTGCAGACAATTAACTACCCAGTAGAGGATGCTGGAGTTCACAGTCACAGAACCAAGCTGTATTTAAAAAGTTTTTTTTTTTCAGAAAACCAACAAGGACATTAAAAAGTTAAGAGCAAGAATTAGCAAACAAAAGAGGAGGCAACACCTTCTTGGATCACAGTAAAACTAATCAGAACGTTTATACATAAATATATATATATATATATACCGAATTAGTTTCCAGTTGTTTTCTCCTTGATACTTATAACTGAAGGGTCTCCAAGCAAAACCAGAGACGCATCAAACCCTGGAACTTTCCGTGTGTTCAAATACGGAGACGCCTCCAGATCAGTTTTTCAACAAGTGGTGGTGGGGAAATAGTTTCTGGGCTTGCACCCTGTTTTCCCTGCGATACCGGAAAGTCATGCCTTTACTGCAAAACACGAAAAACAAATGGAAAGAAAAAAACGAAGGGGACACAGTTGAGAGAGGGCAATAAGCGTGAATGAAGAGATGAACAAGAACGTCAACACCCACCACTCGACAGGTGTCTCCCAAACCGCTGCGGGTAACTAACTCCACACCCCAATCACTTCTCAATGTCTGGTTCACGGCCCCAAGCCGAGCTCCAGCTCCCTCGAGGTGCCCGCCCAACGGGGCACCTCGGCGCGCTCCTAAGGCCCGGGGGCTCGGGCGGGGAAGGGTTAGGCGGGCGCGGGACGTTCTCGGGCGCACGGACTCCCTCCTCGAGAGCCCGGCTGGCCGGCGCCTCGCAGACCGGCCCCGCTAGCAGGGCAGGGCCACGTCCCAGCTGCCCCGGGCCCGGGAACTCCAGGAATTGGCGGTCGTCTGCCGGGAGGAGGAGACGCCAGGCGCCAGGCGGAGGCGGCCGCGGCCGCTGTCAGGTTTCCCGTCTCCTCCCTCTTCCTCCCGCCGACTACGGTCCCCGGCCCCGCCCCCAGCTCCTGCTTCGGGACGGAAGGCCCGGGACGCGGGGCCCACACCAACGGCCGGGCCCACCCTCGGCCTCCCCAGCTCCTGGGTACCGTAGGATCGGGGTTGCAGCTAGGGGAAGTGGACAAGACACGGCCGGAAAGGAGACGAGAGACCACGAGCAACCAGGG